AGGGGGGTGTATGGGGTGGGGGGGTAGAGCAGAGGGGTGGGTATGTGTGCCGGGGGTTGCAGTGGGGGTAGAGCAGGGGGTGGGTGTGTGAGGCAGCAAGGGCCTCAAGAAGCCCCTGGCAAACTGGCACTCTGGCAACCTGCGAGGAAAAAGCCCCAGTTCCCATTTTTCTCCATGAAAGAAGAACCCATTTTGAAAGCGCACACGCCACCCTTTCACCTATTCCTGCCGCCCACTTTTGGGTGGCCACCCATGGGTTGAGAAGCACGGCACTGGGGTCCCTCCCGCCCTTCATTTTCTGTGCTTCTATGGAAAAAAAAGCATCCTCCCGTTCTCAAAGGCTTCACAGAATCAAGGGCAGCAGCTAAGGGGGTGGCGGGGGGGCATGCAAAACTCTGGACCTCTTGGTTCAGATATGACACCTTTTATTAGACTAACTAAGAAATTGCAATAAATAAATAAGATCTTTTTTTCTGCAAGCTTCCCGGATGGGGAAGGAAGCATTCATGATGGAAATAAAGACACTAGTTTAACAGGCTGGAGGAGAAGGGAGAATGGAAGGGGGGGAGAGCAGCTGGACCCAGGCACTGAACACGTGGCCGCATCAAGGCAGCAGAGAGCTCCCCGCAAGGTTGGCGGGAGGCTCTGTGCTGCTTTCCAAGTGACGTTTCCCAAGGCCCCTTCCTCCCCCCAGAATAAGGCTGGCCAAGGCCCCCTTCCTGCCCCTCCCGAGGATCCCGGGGCGCGAGTCTCCCGCGCTCGTCCTTGCACGCCCGCGCGGCGGAAGCGGGCCGGGCCGGCGGAGACATGACGTGTCAGACAAGGGCACTTTGTGCGCGCTCCTCTGCCGGCGGGACGCTCGCGCAGCCCCTGCCCCTGCGCCACTGAGCAGAGGGGAGAGCCCGGCCGCCAGCAGAGAGAGAGAGAGCCCTCCTCTCTCAAAGCCAGGAGGAGGAGGAGGAGAAGAAGGAAGAAAGCCGAGAGCCAAACAAAACAGCTAGAGTTTGAAAGAAACCTCCCCCCCACACGTCCTGGCTAAGGGGAAAGGGAAAGTGAGGACTGAGTAGGCTCCCAAGGATGATAACATAGTGGAGAGGAGGGTGGGCCAGCTCCTCACTTTCCTCTCTTTTTCTATCCCTTGGGAAGTGTCTGCCTGCTGGAAGAGGTCAGGCCTCCACCCTGTTGCTTGAGAAGCAGGAGAGGAGATGGTGGAGGCGGCAGAAAGCAGAGGGGATGTGCCCCCCGTGCAAGAAGAGGCGAAGGAGCGGAAGAAGAAGAAGAAGAGGAAGAAGAAGGAGAGCAAGACGCGCACGGTACGGTCCAACCTGCTGCTACCTGGGCTGGAGGTTGAGAAGCCCAAGGGGGGCCCCCTGGCCAACAATCGCCTTAAGACAACCAAATATACCGCTCTGTCCTTCCTGCCCAAGAACCTCTTTGAGCAGTTCCACCGGCTGGCCAACGTCTACTTCGTTTTCATTGCGCTACTCAACTTCGTGCCGACTGTGAATGCTTTCCAGCCCGAGCTAGCCTTGGCCCCGGTGCTCTTCATCTTGGCTGTCACTGCCATCAAGGACCTGTGGGAGGATTACAGTCGTTATCGCTCGGACAAAGAAATTAACCATATGGAGTGTCTGGTCTACTGCAGGTGAGAGTGCATGTTGCACGCGCTAGTGTTATGGGAACTGGTGTCAGGGTGAAGTTTTGGGGGTGGGGGTGGGGGTGTAAGGAAAACCAGAGTCAGTGTGGTACCTCTTACTAAAGGGCATCCAGGGAAATGTGGAGCTCTTTGATGCCAAATTGGGGCCCTCTCCCTCCAGTTGCTTGCCCCTATGAAATGCGAGAGAGTGTATAGTGAGAGGAGGGGAGCAAGCAGGTCTTCTGATTTGTGTTTTGTTATACTCCTAAGCTCAGTTTAATGAGAACGTTCTGTTATCCATGTCCTTGGCTTGTCTCCCACATGCCGAGTTTTCCCTGGTCTTCACCCAGAAGTTTTGATGTTCCCAAAGTGTTGTGGATAAGCTGTACGTGCAAGAAGAAGCTCTCATTCATTCATCACAATAACATAGTGAATTACTGAATTATATGTTTGTAAGCAAAGTTGGTGCACGTGTGTGCGTGTTAAAGCAAGAATGGTGCATCACAAAAGGAATTAATTCACTTACTTTGGAAGTGTTTGATTTGTAAGTATTTATGAGAAGTCTTTATAGTGTAAATGGTCAATTGTGCCAGCATATACTTTGGACCAGTATAGTCTTTGCTTTAATGAATTTTCATGTTACTCTTTGCCATTAAATCTTTACTGAACAGCACGTAGAGGCCAAAGATTTCTGTGTGTGGATTAGTTACTGGTGTGTTTGGATTACTGAAGTTCTGTTGGGTTTGCTTTTCTAAAGAATGTGAGGTCTGCCTGCCATCATTCAATATTTGTTTTTAGCAAAAGCCACTGATTTATTATTGTCAAGTGCCATCATCCACTAGCGCTATTGGTGGAATTTTTGTTCGTTTTTTCTTCTTCTCTTTTTGGAATGAAAGTTTGTGTATGTTCTAAACTGTATTTTTAGACTAAATCTTCAACCTCTGGGAATCGGCACTGAAGTTGCTTCCACTGATTCCCATCAGCCTGTACAGTGGTTATCCCACTGAGACTTCTGGAGGTGCAGGGGATGTGCTCCATGTTTTAGGAGAGCAGGCTTTGCTTCTCCATCTGATGCTGCTGGTCTTGCAGAAAGGACGGCAAAATGAAGCAGGAACACGAAGTACATATCAGGCTTATATTCTTATTTTCAAACATGTTTGGGAGAAATCCTTCTGACAGAGGAGACAGCAACTCTCCCATTGCAAGGACAGGCATAGTAAAAAAAAAAAAAAAAAGTACTCACAGCTGGCTGTATTTTTAGCATTCAGCAAATTGTCTTGTATTTCTCATACAGCCAGCTGTGAGTACTTTGTGACTATGCCTGTCCTTGCGATGGGAGAGTTGCTGTCTCCCCTGTATGCTGGGATCTGTCGGAAATGTTAGGGGTTTTTTTTCCCCCCATCTTTAGATATCAGTGTGTGGGAAAGACTGGAGAAGGATCTTACTTCATATACTATAAGTACATTCAAACATATAAATAAGTAGAATACGGTCTCTTTATGTGTGTGTAGTTTCTTTCTCTGGATAGTTCTGCTTTCCTCAGTAAGGTAACTCTGGAAGTAAAGTAAGAGTCTGAAAGCACAGCAAATACGGGCCCTTACAGAGCAAGGTATACTAATAAAAATAATAATCTACACTGCAAGGCTAAAAGGAAAAAATATATATATACTTATTATTGAAGCCATTTGAAAGCCTTAGTACTAACCTGGGACTAATTTTCCCCAATTTTCCTTTTGGAACTCTCTTTACCAAATAGGCAAAGGCAGTCCTGGTGAGTCTACCTGACAAAATTTATACTGCCTCCTGTTGAGATTCCCAGCTAAGCAATTAATATGTTGCATTTTATGATCCTTACCATAAATTTTGTTGCTGAATGAAAGTTAGAACTTCCTAACTGCTGCAGTGTATTACTTTCAAGTTACATGTAACTTGATTTAGTCGGGAGTGTTTTGGATAGCCTTTGAATTATTATCAAGGGCTACCCAATCCACTCTTACCAGTGTGGTAAACTTGAAAGTGCAGTCCTGGTCAGTCCATCTGACAAAAAAAGATCTCTAAATAGGGGTGGAGGTTGGATGCTGTTTACTAAAAAGTTACTGTTTCTTTAGCTGAAAGCTAAGATTTGCATAAATCAGCATGACTCCAGGAGCCAGAGTTTTAACAACTGCGGTGAGTATAGAGGAATACATATTAATATCATGAGAGCTGAAAGCATGAGTTTATTTTGAAGGCAGAGAGAATGCCAAATGAACAAGTGGATGGATTTTTTTTTGTTTGTTTCCCTGGAGGTTCAATATCAAGATAAAGAGGAATCACTTTGACTCTTACTCCATGGAAAAATTTGAAGGGTAGATGTCATCTAAATAGATTCATGTAGATTAAATAATGATATTCTTTCCCGTGTCTGTGTTCATTTAATCTTTTTAACTCTTTTTTACTATCCCTTGAGCCAGTGACTCTACTCCTGCAGCTCGTGTTACGGAGACGGTGCTTTCACTTCTTGATCCGTATGCCTCCTTCACATGGGGTAGGTTGATGGGACAGGGAGAAAGGTAGATATGGTAGAGTGCAGCAGTGCATGTAACTCCCTCCCCTAATGCTCGGATGTCTTGAGGGGCAGGATCCCATCTCTGGAGAAAGGAAGCGGTTATGTTTTGTGATGTATGGAAATGTGGTTGCCACGCTTACAGCCACTCTCTGCAGTATCAGTTACTTCTAAGGGTGTGGATAGCTATGTGATGTGCCATGTTGCTCTCGACATCCTTCTCATTTTGCCTATATAATGGGCCTTAAATATTTTAAATATATAGTAATGCCTTTCCTG